CCAGCTGGATTTTTTCAAAACGAACGAATTAAGTAAATTCCGTCAGTGACAGTGCGCTGATCTCTGCGTCTTACATAATGACTGCTTTGTTAAGCACTGACCACTCTGCTGTTCTACCAAATGAGTATGGACCTTTAACAATGAGCTATATGCATAGAAAAAGCTAATTTTATCTCATATACCTCGTACTTGTTTTTCATCAGTATTTTCGTTTAATCTTTAAGACAAAACAATGTTAAAAGTCTATTTCTATCAGCAAGAATTTTTTTGTTTTTCTTATATTCGTTATTCACACCTTATTGTAATACACGTTCGACAGCCGAAACACTAATGTACAGAAATGTTTACAATTGTGACTTTCAAAAACATGATCTTTTTCATAAAATTTGATCTTTTCCACCTAAGAAAAGTCCGATGGAAAATGAAATCATATGCATTTTATAGCCTGAAAAATCTACATTCCGTAAATAAAAGAGATTTGTCTAAAACGATGCTCAAATTCGTCAAAAATGGCCTATAAAGAACGTCAGTATGGGTAATTTTCGAAAAGTGACTTGACTTCTTGACTCGAGAGAAAAAGTTTTCCGATCTCGACTTGATTTGACTTGACTTGAAAGTTTTTCAGTGACTTGACTTGGCTTGTGACTTGCAAACCTCCTGACTTGCCCAGCTCTGATTTCAGGTACTTTCAGAGCTATATAATGCATATGCTTTCATTATCCATCGGACTTTGCTTAGGTGGAAAAAATCAAATTTTATGAAAAAAATCATGTTTTTGAAAGTGAAAATTGTAAACATTTCGATTTTTTCCACATCATAGTCACCGTTTTGAAAGTGACAAAGTAGTGGGTTTTGTGCACGCTGTCGAATGAGCTGTTGTTCAAAAAGAATTGATGAGAGGTTTTAAATGCACGGTCAAAATACAAAAGAGGCCGCTTTCTCAAATCTTTTTCGGTACCTTGACAAAAATGTCGATTTTTTGACAACGAGGAGGCCTGTCAGGGAAATGCTCGATGGTGTCGCGAAACCTCTCTTGAAATGTCAGGTATAGTTAGGCACGATGTGGCAGAGCGAGTTTTTTGATAGTTTCCTTTCGAAAATTTTTGGAGATCAGAAAAGTCAAAAACTCAAGATTTTCAAGATATTTTACTATAAATAACACTTAAGAGCCATTGCAGATAAGCCACGCCCAACCGTGCTTGAGATGCTGGTCAAGTTTATACGATCTTCTGTCAAAACGTGTCATAAAAAATACGACACTGCTCGATAATGGCAATAAAGGGAACGAATTTATATAATGTGTATATGCCTAATGTGAAAAGCCTGTGACTCGGTCGTCCAAGATCGTATAAACTTGACCAACATCTCAAGCATGGTTGGTCGCGGCTTATCTGCAATGGCTCTTAAGTGTTATTTATAGTAAAATATCTTGAAAATCTTGAGTTTTTGACTTTTCTGATCTCCGAAAATTTTCGAAAGGAAACTATCAAAAAATCCGCTCTGCCACATCGTGCCTAACTATACCTGACATTTCAAGAGAGGTTTCGCGACAACATCGAGCATTTCCCTGACAGGCCTCCTCGTTGTCAAAAAATCGACATTTTTGTCAAGATACCGGAAAAAATTTGAGAAAGCGACCTCTTTTGTGCATTTAAAACCTCTCATCAATTCTTTTTGAACAACTGCTCATTCGACAGCGTGCACAGAACCCACTACTTTGCCACTTTCGAAACGGTGACTATGATGTGGAAAAAGTATTAGGTGGAAAAAATCAGATTTTATGAAAAAAATCATGTTTTTGAAAGTCAAAATTGGAGGTGTCTTGTCGATTTAGCTATTTCTGCCATTTTAAGATCAATCCGAGCTGTCCGTCACTTAATCTGACCAAGAAATCTGGGAAACGCTCACTGCCACTTTTTGACTACTATTCGAGAGCTCTATCTCTTGAACGTAGATAGACTGAGCCTTTAAAATGTTATCGTAACTAGTTTTCAACATGCCAAACATTTCCTGAAAATTTAGTCAAGATCGAACTTATGATTGCAAAACGAGCTGTTCGACAGATGAGACCCTTAATTAGAAAAATACGTCATTGGATAGAATACAAAGTAGAAAACGTAATTTACTTATTACAACTGGGATTTGAGCTTCTCGAACATTCGATGGGATTAAAAAGTGATCCTCATTCTACCGCGAATGATGTTCGTTATCACGCATGTAGTAGGGATGCTATTGTGAATATGTAAAATCTGAAAAATGTAAATTATAATATTTTCTCACTTGCATCTGAGATGGGCGACAAAACCGGGAAGATCCTCTTTTGAAGCCATCAGAAACAACCTATTTCGGCGTTTTAACCGTCTGAAATTTCCAGTCAACTTTCCGTCACTGGCATTTAGTTTGTCGAAATTCCGTTTTATTAACATCTGAAGTGTGACGTGACAATTTCAGTATAGACTTTCGGTTTATGAGCTATGCCTCTTTTGACAATTTTTTCCTTGTATCAGAAAGTTGGTAAAAAGCCTTTCTGCCAATTCCAAAAATTGGTAGTGGATGACAGACATCTCTGCCAATTGGCAAAAAATTTTTATAATTGGCAGTGTCACATGATTTTCTTCCAATTGGCAGAAATGTCTGTGACACTCTATCAATTGGACTTCCTAACTTAACTTAGGAAAACTTTTTCTAACTAAACTTAGAGAATTTTTTTATTCCCTTATGGTTTATAGGTTATCGCTTCTTCTGAATCCAGCATCCATTCAAATTAGACGTCATGTTGTAGTGACTTGCATCGTATTATGCATTTTGTGAGCGTTTTCTTTTCTCTATGTATAATCGAAGAAGAAGAAACTAACTATTATATATTTCTGAAAATAAGATGAGTGAACAAAACGCTTATAACTCCGGATCGAAAAGACCTAGAGACTTGCAGTTTTCACCATTGGAAAGAGTAGCTCGTGGGACGTGTGTCCATCTAGAAAGTCAATTTTTCCGAAGAGCTTTTTCCTTCAGACCTCGCCCGATAAAACCCGGAGTGCCACAAAACTAGTCGACAAAACAATATTTTTTTCAGATGGATCTTAGGTTATTGGCTACCCTGATTCCGAATATCACCATGCTAGCTGCCATTAAGTTTTCAGAGAGCGGTTTTCTGGTAAACCGGCTTTTCGGAAACTCTAAAAATTAATCAAAACTTTTTCTTAATGAGTTAGGATTGATAAATCCTGCCAAGCTTCGGTCAGTATCCGGCGCTGAACTGCTCAAGAACAGGCATTTCGAATCTTTAAAAAAAAGTACAAGTATGATCAGGATCTTGATGAGAAAACACAAGGATCTAATTAAGATGTTTGCAGGTTTGTGTTTAGAGACTATTCGGACTTTGATTTTCAGGATCCTGCCAAGGTTTATAACTAATTCTGTTCAGGAACCTGGCAAGGACGGATGAAGCTCACGTTTTTAGCTAGGTTCAGGTCAGGATCCGTTCAAGATTTATAAATCTATAGATCACAACAGAATTTCGGTAACAAAAAAATAAAACGAGGGATTTTTCAAGATCGTATTGTGTTTTTGCTCGAAACACGACAAAATTCTGAGAACTGAATAATATACTGGCGTTTTTATCCCGATCTTGACTTGGTTCTTTTCATAAACAAATAGAACGAATCTGAAAAAAAATCATAGAAAAAAAGTTTTTCTAAATCTTTTCAAAGTTATATAAAAGTTATTTCATCGGTATGTAAACTGAAGGTCTAGAGATCGATACTCTATGTGTTCATTTCTCTTCTGTTCTATTTAGAAAATTCTGCAAAGATCTTGTCAAGAAATTTAATAACATCTTCGAGGAAACCTAGTTAAATCCTGAAAGATGTTATCGGAAATCGTTTTTTTTCAAGATAGATCCAGAACAAATCTCGACTCAAACCTAATAAAATCTTGACCGAAATCTTTCTGTGATTCTTGTCAGAATCCTGAATAGGATTGAGAATGAATCTTAGTAGGATCCTGCAAAATCAGTTTAGGAAATAATCCTGACCAAGAACTTGAACAAATCCTGGAAAATCAATCCAGAATCAAACTTGACATAATCCTTGACATTTATGATGCTGAAAGATCCTTCTAGGCTCTCGCAAGAAATGAACACGGTTGAGTAGGCTAAACAGTAACCTGCAAAGATCTTTGCTAAACCCTTATATTGTCTCATCAAGATCCTTATTAGGACTGACATTGTCTTGCAAGGTCTGGAATCGGATATTCTTGAAAAGTTCTGAACAAGATCCTGACTGAAGCTTTGCAGGATTAGTCAGTTTCGTATTCTGACTGATCTGGTTATTTTCTTGCAAAGACCGTAGTTCGATGTGGCTGTCACTCCTAGCAGGGTCCTGATACGAAGATTTAGCCTAGATCCCGACGGGAACCTGATAAAATCTTGGCAGAATCCTCTCCTATAATCGTGTGAGGATCGTTGACAAGATCTAGAGTAAATCCTGGTAGGATCCTGTATTTTCAACTCAGAAAAATATCTGAGCAGGAACTTGAAGAAATCCTGAACGCGATCCTGTTTAACCTTGAAAAAATCCTGGAAACAGGAACTACTAGGATTCGAAACAGGATCTTGAATAAAACTTGACAAGATCCATGAGATTCAGGATCCTGAAAGATCCTTCCAGGCTTTCTCAAGGAATGAACAGGATTGAGACTAGGGACAACTCAGCCTAACTATTTCATTATGTTTCACGCTTTTCATTCAATTTTGATTATATGTTTTCCTAAGATTCCTATATTTGAAAACGGTTTGTTTCGTCTAAGTAAGAGCAAAAAGTTGTATTTGTTGATTTTCGACAAATATGATTTCATAATTGTCAATATATTTTTGCGATAAGTTAATAGTTAATTAAAACCGATAAGTTATCTGTGGGCCATCTGATAGAAGCAAAAATGATTAAAAGTAAAAACTTTAAAATAAAATTAAAAAAAGAAGAGTTTAAAATTTATTGCATTTATCAACTTTCTTGTTTCACTGCCGTCAACCAACCCATGCTTGGACGTAATGCTTTCGTTTCAGGATTTTGCGCAACACCAAGAAAACCAGAGATAAGCTTCATTTTTGTGATGTGACCATTGTCGTCAAGAAGAAAATCGGTCTTTGTTACACTTTCCTTTAAATCAGAAAATTCGATGCCATTGATTAATCCTTGAGTGTAGTGACGATGATTGTGTCTTGCTTTTGTATAATGCCCTTTTCCGTCATCAGCATATCTATTAAAGAATTACGACCATTAAAAGCGTGAATCAACCAAAAAAGTAGAAGATACTCACGGAACAAAATCAGCCAACCAACCACTTATCATTGAAATGTCTGATCCACCACCTACATGGTGACAGATTTTCGACCACCACTCTTTGTCCGGTTTTCCTTGAGCGCTCTCTTTCAGTTTTTCTAAATGGGGCAATATTGAATCGAACCACCAATGAAAATCATTAAAATAGGCTTTCAATGTATTTACACGATCAATCACTGACTGCCAGTCATCAGGAGAACCACGCAGTGTTACTTCTGGGATGCCGCCTAAAATTGAAAAAGGTTTGACAGTGTAGGTAGGAGTAACTCTTTCGAAAACACAGAACTTTTAAATCAACTTTACCTGACATGATTCTGAGCTTAGTTTCTTTTGGAGGTAATTAACCAAAGACAAAACATGTTTTCCTGATAGCCCACTTCGAATACATTAGAAATATATGTCAGCTTTCATTCTATAGTCCCATGGAAAGACGCAGCAGGTGCTGAAATTTTAAAAAGCGAGAAAATGGCCTTTAAAAGTTGGCTGTTTTCTATGTTCAGACATTTTTTATCTCAATGAGAATGATTTCATCGAATGGAGCTCAAAAAGACGTGTTGAATGCATATCTAGTTGACCTGTTTTTCACTTCATTTTACTGGGAAAATAGGTTTAAAAGACAAGCCTATTAATAAATAAGCGATCTTTTTCTTAAAAATTTTCCTCTGACTCTCTTCCAAACTTTGCAGTTAAAGAAGTATTTCTTATTCAAAATATGTTCTTTATCGAGAAAGATATCACTTCAGCAACAATGTATCAGTTAGCGTGCATCTAATGAAGGCACCTCTCGCGATGATAAGTCGCTGAACTATTCTGATAGGATAGACTCTAGTAAATACGGTGCAAAAGATTTCGCTTCTTTGATTTCTAATGTTGAGTTATGAATTTTCTGTTTTCTGTTGAAAAAATACGGTTTCGATAGTGAAAATTCGATTTCTCGACCTACAAACTGATAAAAGCTGCTACTTATACTTTAGCTACTAGACACTGTGCGTTGTTTTCCTGAATCAGCAAGACAATTTCAAACAATCACCAGCTGACCTTTACATCAGACACCTTCAACAGATATAGATTTTCCATCTGGAATGAGAACGTCAAATGCACGATTGTTTCTCGATAAAAGCACCAATCGAGCTGGTATTTTGACTCTCAAAATCATATATTTCCAAAAAAGCACGAGAAAAAGTCATAGCTCAACATCAGTAATCACAGAAGCTATAACTATACTTCTGTGTTTAAAATAAATTATGCTCGCAAAATGACTCGCTTGTACTTACAGCAGAGACTAAATCGATAACTGTAGTAAGCTTTAACCGAGTCCATTAATGTGCAATCGAAAACAGCTTGCTCAATTGGACTTGTCTGTGAAAAGGGTATTGTCATTAACTGAGCAAAATCGGTTTTCATATCCTTCTTTATTAATTCGCCCATTTGATTAACGGCTAGTGGCCAATTAATACCCGGTACATTTTTGTTTCCAATTGATGGACGCTCAGAATCCGGTATTCTTAGAGAATCAACAGCCAAAGTCAATTCTTTCTGTCCTTCATGAGACACAAATAGAGAACGAAATTTCTCTGCATTTTCATTCAAATGAATACTAACTCCCTGAGCAATTGCCGCCCAAAAATCTTCAACCGATAATTCCAATCGATAATGTTCGCAGTAGGCTTTGTAAATTGTAGCAATGAATGCATTGTTAACGCGATGATCAAGTTCAATCAAAGGATAATTTGTTTGACCATTCTCAAACAAGAGAGTTTCTTGTGTCGGTTTAACGGGAGGATCTTTTTCTAATGTTGAAAATAATGGTGGTTGTTGTTTTGGCATCCATCGTTTTAATTCTTCTTCGAATTTGGCATGAGAGTGATCTTTTATACATGGTTCTACTTCAGAAACATTAAATGTGGTAGTCATTGTCAAAGTTGCGCACCTTTCTTTCTTTTATAAGTAATTTCTGGCTCGAATCAGTCTCTGAGTGTGTACGTCTCCCGTTATCATTATTTTATATATATATATTTATATGTAGAACAGAAAAAAAAGAAAATGTTGATGATTCACGTACGCATTTTCTCTTATGGATTGCACAAACACGCTGTAAGGACGGAAATACATTCAAAAATAAAAATCAATGAGTCATATGGCACGTTAGAGTGACATGAAGGATGAATTGCGAGAAGTAGAGAATTAGAAAGAAAGTTTGAGAGAATCTGACAAGGTTTTGAGAGGCTTACCTCGAAACACACGGCAAGAACAAAAGCGTCTAAAAAAAGCGCTTGCTAGAAAACGTCCACGAAAAAGCATAGTAAAAAAAGCATTGACAACAATACGTCCACAAAAATTCATCCAAATAGAAGCGAAGCGTTAGGTGATAAGTGCATGTACTACATAGATGAATCATTCCACTGCACTAGCTTATCTCAAAAATGACTAATTTCTTGCGATAGTGGATCGGCCAAGCAGGTCAGGCGTGCTTCCAAAGTATACCCATTGGAACTTTTAAATAATTTTAAATTAATGTACACTAATTTCTGACGCAAAAAACGATGAAAAATTACTTCACATCAATTTAAAGTTTGTGTAGAGTTTTCGGATTAATGTACACTAATTCGAAGCTCGAAATTCGTGTACATTAATTTAATATGAGACTTTGTATAATGCGGTAACGAGGGAAATTAATTTTTTCACGAAAAAATGAATCAGATTAATGCGCATTAATTTGAAGTATATTTTTCTATCTTTTTTTTCATTTATTCAAAGATTTAAATTGATGCGCATTAATTTTGAACACCAAAAAGTTTTTTAAATTAATGTGAACGAATTTCCTTTCAAATTTGTTCAAGTTCCGTTGAATCTCGAAATTAGTTTGCATTAATTCGAAAGTATTTAAAAGTTCCAATGGGAAACTTAGTCAATTATTATTTGGAAATCTCTTCGAATTTTGTTTTTCCATGTGACTAAAAGCATAAGTGTAAAGGGTCATCTTCCTTTTCCTCATTGTCTCATCTTCCAGAGACCTATTCACTGTAATGAACTTTTTCCTTCCATTAGCTCTTGATCTACCATTCACGTTTCCTTAACTCATAATAATGGATTTCTTCCTCTTGCACAGATCATGACTTCTCGCCCCGCTTCACTGCTTCTCTGTGTACTTCTCTTCGTACTAGGGGTGCCACTTTACTGCTCTTTACTAAGTGATAAGTAATAAAACGTATTAGTTATTACTTGGAACATGTGACAAATCTTATTACTTTATTACTTATTACTTTTTTCAAGTAATAATCTTTTATTACTTTACTTATTACTGATAAGAAGAAAACTAATAAAAAGTAATTAAGTAAAATAATGAAAAATTATTACATGAAGAAGTAATAAGTAATAAAACAACAAGATTTATTACCTTTTTACCGGTAATAAGTAACAAACGCTTAATACTTTTACCAGATAATGTAATAATTTATAAAAGAATTTTTAAAAAAGTGTCGGTAAAAGAAAGGTCGGTTTCGTGGATGCCCAGTCTTTTCAGCAAAGTGGCTATTGTTCCCAAACAAAAAAAGCGAGAGGTCTCGAACTTGTGTAGTTTTGTAGAGCAGATGTTGCTTTATCTAGATGTGAATTTAAGACGAAAATTTTATCTGAAAGCCTTTCCGTGGACATTTTGTCCGAGAAAGTATACTACCTGAAACTGGTAGTTTTTCAGATCATTGTTAGGTCGATGGATAGCCCCCTGAATTTACTTCAAAATGATGAAAATCAGAACTCTTTAGCTTATTCCGATCAAACATTGTTCAGAAAACATCATGTGCACTACTTTTTGACTCCAGTCACTCTAAAAAAAAATGCGACTTCAGCGATGTGTCGGCCGAGAAAAAGTATCTTGTATGTGACTAGATTGCGACTTCAAAGTAGTAGGCGTTTTCTATATATCTTCAATGTGTCTACTGGTAGGCATATAGAAGTGACATTGGACTCGCATAGAAGACATGTGAACGAAAAAGACACTTATTAGTCGTATCATTCCGCCTTCCATGTGTCTCTAAGTTTTTAATCAAAGTCTCACACGAAATGTCAACGTAAGAGGCTAATAAGACTAATAACTAATGTACTGTGTGGTTTAGTGGTGAACACATCCCGTAAGCGAATAGACCGAGTTCAATTCTTGGCAAGAACGAAACTTTTTTAATGTGTCTTCTCCAGAAGACACATCAAAGCGACTTCAAGAGAGTCGCTAATATACGACTAAATGGGATCCGACTTCCGTGTCTCTAATGCGACTAGAGCAAAGATGCTATAAAGTGACTACCAGGTAAAGTCACATCATGTTTCTTCAAAGGAGACGCTAAAATGCGGTTTTTGGGATCCGACTTACGTGTCTTATTAGAAGTCGCATTTTTTTATAGAGTGTAGGCGTCTTCAGTGTGTCTACTGGTAGGTATATAGAAGTTACATTGGAGTCGTATAGAAGATGTGTGAACGAGAAAGACGCTTAGTAGTCACAACATTCCGCCTTCCATGTGTCTGTAAGTTTTTAATCAAAGTCGCACATGAAATGTCAACGTAGGCGGCTAATAACTAATGTACCTGTGTGGTTCAGTGATGAACACATTCGTCCCGTAAGCGAATAGACCGAGTTCAATTCTTGGCATGAACAAGCGACTTCAAAAGAGTCGCTAAAATACGACTAAAAGGGATCCGACTTACGTGTCTCTAATGCGACTAGAGCAAAGATGCTATAAAGTGACTACCAGGTAAAGTCGTATCATGTATCTTCAGAGGAGGCACTAAAATGCGGCTTTTTGAGATCCGACTTATGTGTCTTCTTGGAAGTCGCATTTTTGTTTAGAGTGTACTACTTGATATCATCTAGCGTTAAGCAAGTATTGAGATCTAATCTGTTTTAACTATGGAAAAAGCGGAGTTGATACATACCTTGGCCTTCTGAATCTGTCTGTCACTGAAGCTTTTGTGTTTAAAAGTGACATATTTGAAACTACTGAAAAAACTTCAGATACTGCTATCATAGAGTAGCTTTCTGACTGAATGCAGTTTTTGTCATATAACTCCTAGACACTAAAGATTTGTTAAAATTCGCTCTGTAGAACAGCATCAATTATCTTTGGGTATTATGATATTTTTAGTCATAAATACAAAATCACGATCAGCTTCTGGAACTTTCGAGGCTGGAGTCTCCAGCGTCTTGCTGTTAGTACTAAATTCCTCTCACAGGAGATTAGAGCTGCACCGAATTCGTTTTCTCCTGAACTTACCACTGTATTTCTGGTTTGGAGATGGAAAATGAGGATATTTAGAATAATTTGAATGACTTACTCCTGATTTGTGCTGGTTGTGAAAGATTATGTTTTAGTATTTTATTAAAATGGAGTGAAGAAGGAGAAGATTACAAACACAGACTAGCACAACATAAATTGATATTAACTATACGACACTTCAGTACTAACTGAATAGAAAATAAATATATGTTCTTATCTAGTTATCTGATCTCTTTATAATGTGTTTAATATAAGCATATAGACAAAGGAAAGAGTAAACTTTACGTCTGTTCGCCTCATTGATGTACAATAACAAATAAATAAAAATGACTACAGAGAAAAGGAGAAAATGTATACATATAATGGAAAGAAAATGTAGTCTGTGTATATAAATGAACAAAGAAAATAAAAACGGAGGAATACGACGATTAAACTCTTCTCAGCTTTCCGCATTTTTTAAACCAATACATAAACGATTATCTTTAATGATAATTCTTCTATATTTCAAGTTTAAACTATGGAGAGAGAATGCGTCGAACTTGTGTTGGATGAAATTGCGGATCAATTGGTTTAACAAGTTCGTATTTAAAATCAGTTTTTCGATGACGTTTCGATGCTTTCTTGTTGGAATTCAGACGAGATTTCTTGCTACGACGTCGTGGTTTTCGTCTTAATCGTTTCGGTTGTGTTGTTCGACAGTGTGAAGGGAGAACAGAGACCAGAGCTTCGTCTACATGAACCATCCGAGACATTTCCGTTCCTGTTATTGAAATCGACTCACAAACTAATGCGGATATTCGTTGCTGAGGTTGTAGTTCCGTTTCTGGTGGATTTTCATAGTCCATCAATTGTTCAGGAGGACTTGGAGCTAAATTGATTGTTGAAACTATACGACGATTATTTCGTTGTTTATATCGATCTCGTTCACGGACAATAGCCAAAACTGACGATACGTCGTTGCTTGCATATTGTTGTAGATCTCGGTGTATTTGACGTTGATCATCTCTGATACGACAATTGTTGAAACGTTGCTTTTACCGTTCCTGTTGGCGAATCATATTTCGACGAGCATATTCATGATAAATTTTTAAATTTTTCTTCAATTGCTGATAAAAATTATTGGGTGTGGCATCACTTGTTTTGGCGGTTCGTCTGGCGGTAATTTTGGCTTCTGTCGATATTGCAATTGAAATGGAGAATAACCTGTAGTATTATGCTGTCCCGTATTATAGGCGAAGACCACCGAAGGTAGAAATGAATCCCAGTTATTGGATTCTGTATCTTGCAATTTGGCGAGTTGTGGGACGAAGGTAGCATTAAATCTTTCAATCATACCGTTTGCCTGTGGATGATATGTTGTTGAATAAATATGGTGGTGTCCGAGCAAAATAGCCATCGCGTCCATCAGCTGGTTCTTGAAATGATTTCCCTGATCTGGCAAAATCTAGTCAATCTAGTAGTAGTCTAATCTAGTCTGACAAAGTAGGAACACCATATTTACATATGTATTCGTTATAAATCGTTTCAGCGGTTGTCAGCTTTGCAGTCAGGGAGAGCCACTGCGATAACCCATGTTGTGAGGTGGTCCGTGATGCATAAAACGTATCGGCTTGAAGAACACCTTGGACGATGATATACAAGCAGACACTCTTATAGTGACCTGCTGCTGTAGTGGTATTCGAATCGAATCTGTTAATCTCAATGGCACCCGAACAAGATTATCTTGTTTAGTCATTGGGATGGTAATCTTATGATGTTGTTGGTAGACTGTGATAGTTTCTTGCACAGCATCAAATTGTAAACCGTACTTTTTGATATAATCAGTTCCAATGATGCAATCAGTGAATAAATCCTTAACTACAGATGCCATAACCGTTGTAATCATGTTTTTAATCTTGATTGTTAATTGCACCGTGCCGGTCATCTTCAAATGAGTTGTTCCATCTGCCAGTGAGAGAGAATGATGGATATTGGTGCTGAATTTTTGATGTTTCGTTTTCCTCAAAGCATTTTCGGCGATAATCGTGTTAGTAGCTCCGGTATCAATCATAACTTGCATCATATTGTTGTTAACTGCTACACTAATAAAAAACAATGATGGATTATTGTTCTAATTTACACCGGAGGCATTACCATCGTTCGATGACTCCGCTACGGAAAATCCTGTCGCTTTAGACAGGCTCTTTGATACACAGCTATAACATCCGGAATAATTTTGTGGTGGTCGTGGCGTGGGATATGCACTGCGCGAATAGTATAAATTGTGTTGTCTTTGGTTTGATTGTGAGTTAGCAGCTGCATTACTTGACTGACTTGGATTGTTTCTGGATGTCTGTGAAGGCGATGGTAGTGGTGTGGCTGATCGATTGACCATTAAATGATGTATTTTATTTGATTCCTGCTGTTGTTCAAATCTTCTCGGAGGTGGAACATACAGTCGTTGATCGTTTCGATTTATCGATGCATGTATTCTTGAGCTCGTTGATGACTGAGGAGCAGAGGCAACGCTAACTGTTGTTGGATCATCTTTCATAAATTCCATCAATTCTTCAAGTTGTTTGCTACAATTCAAGAAATCCGCTGGTGCTTCTGGGAACTTTTTACTGACTTCCAGTTTCAATATTGGCTTAACTTTAGTCAACAAATATGGTAATTTGATTGTTTCTGACATTTGTGGATCAGCTTGTTTACAAAGATCCATGATTTCATTATAATAATCCTTGATTGATTGATTCATTGATTGTTCGTAATGAAGCAGACGTTCAAATGCTTTACAGTTTTTGAATTTTGATGTGAATTCTTTGATTTGCTTCTCAAATTCAGACCATGAGGTAATTGTTGCTGACTTTCGTTTATACCATTTCATTACTTCATCCTGTAAGAGTGTTGGTACACATTTAAATTTCATATCATCTGACCATTCTTGGGATTTGACCTGCAGTTCAAAATCCTCAAGCCACAGAATGCATTTTCATTTTTGCCACCAAAACTTTTCAATTTTCTCAAGACATGATCACTGATTGATCTTTGAATGTTCAATTCATGGGGATCTCTTCGTACTGACAATGAATGATTCTGAGTAACGGTCGTGATCGTTGGCGTTATTATTGTGGCGTTATTAAATGTACTCGAAAACTTATCAACGAACGCACCATACGTTTCAAACTTTGATTCGTTACGAAAAAACCACGTTAAGGCCTTTTTAGTTAATAACGATGGGATAAAATCGAGACGTTGATTTGATGGAATACGGATCTCTGCAAATTGATCATTTATTGACTCTACCCATAATTCAGTATCTTCGACACCAGAAAATTTTTGAAAATCCTCGCGAATGTCTGCACTACCTGACTGTTGTTTCTGCCTGTAGCATTCAAATGTCTGGCTTGACGGCTGCTGCTGTTGAGTTGGTTTTGACTTTGACTGAACTTGTTGAATAATCTAGATGGACTCGGTAGCCGACGTGTATCGTTTTTTGCTGTTTGTAGAGAAGTTATGGGACGTGATTTTGGACATAGTAGTAGTTCGTTAATCTTAAAATCGTTTAAATGTTGTTTTGATCTTGTGTTATGATGGTGCATTATCCACTGAACATTCTCTTATTTCAATCAAAAATATATAACAACTGCTTGTTCTTCTTCGTGTTTGCGTCTCCCGGGAATGTCACGTTGCCAGAAGACAGGCACCCTTTAATTTCTTTTAATTTCGTTTGTCTTTGTGCTTCTTGTTCCAAGATATGAATAAAGAACGACGAAAATCCAGTATATTCTAATGAATAGCTGATATGAGAATAACGAAAAAAAAAATGAACGGACGAACGAACTAGCGAACATAAGAAAGATAACGATGTATTGTAGTCGAATTGAGGTCAACCATAAGGAACGGTCACAAACACATATGACACACGACACCTATCGATTCTGATTTTTCAAATTGACTCTGCACAATGAACTATCTGGTTGTGTTCGATGAAAATATCATCAAATGAATTATCAAACTGTATTCCCTCCACTTGTTAGTACTGAATTCCTCTCACAGGAGATTAGAGCTGCACCGAATTCGTTTTCTCCTGAACTTACCACTGTATTTCTGGTTCGGAGATGGAAAATGAGGATATTTAGAATAATTTGAATGACTTACTCCTGATTTGTGCTGGTTGTGAAAGATTATGTTTTAGTATTTTATTAAAATGGAGTGAAGAAGGAGAAGATTACAAACACAGACTAGCACAACATAAATTGATATTAACTATACGACACTTCAGTACTAACTGAATAGAAAATAAATATATGTTCTTATATAGTTATCTGGTCTGGTCAAAATATCATCATATGAAAGAACGCTTATATACAGTTTACCATTCCGCGATAACATGCTTTAAAGCACGATGTATCTTTCGATCGACTTGTGTACATCCACGTGTTTATATGCATAAAATATTACGATTTTATTCACGAATAGCCATGCCACATTTTCTTTGTAAGATTAACACACGTCAAATTTATGGTATTCGTATAGTATTTAGCATATTAATGCCTTAATGCATACTATTTAAATTGCAATTTCAAGCTTGTTCAATTCTGCACGTTTTATATAATAACCATTCTGCATCTGATTTTGTTTACAGCACTATACTTCACTAACTATTCTACAATAGGTCAAAATCACTATATCTGTTCACTATTTTGCCCATAAGTCTGACACACTTAGGATTCGAAACAACCTGTTACAGCTGATTTTTTAGCTCTTTCAATTCTACATTTCTAATATCTTTCTGTTTCTAATCTCTATCTGTAGAACAAAACTATAAGCATTTTTGTCTGTCACTACGACTAAAATCGATCTTCTTGTCAGGTATTTGAGCAATACATCTGTGAAGACAAATCTTCGAAACAATGTGTTATAGCTCATTGTATAGCCTTTCAATTCTACATCTTTCTATGTATCTCCGGGTCTGACTATGCTGACAGAAGTAGAATCAGTTTTTGTCGGTGATTATGGGTAAAATCGAGGCTCCTGTCAAGTATTTGCCCAATACATCTATGAAGACATTATTGTGAAAAGGTGTGCTACATATCATCTTAAAGCCCGTTTAATTACGCATGTTTTCGTACATAAGATTCTATTAAGAACGTCGGGCTTTCCGAGAAAAATGAATAAATACGATCGAAGACACTTTCTGGACCGTTGCTCAGAAATGATTAAAAACTTCAGCATATGGTAGTCTACAATAAAGTTTTACGGCGCAGAAAAATTACAAATAAAATAAGGAACGGTTTTTGATCAGTTCCAATCGTTATCTTCTCAAAAATATATCGGGTGGTTTTCGTGCGGAAAGCGTCCGTTATTATTTCCATCAAAATTAATGTAATCAGAAGGGGAGGACGCTCCTCACCCACAAACGGTCGCTCCACCGCTGCTTAATACGTGTTCAAATTATGAATAAACCAAAACAACCCTGAACGATATGTTGTTTTACCGTATAAACTAAAAACTATTTATGGTATCTTAGCCCAACAGGAAAACTATTCTCTTTATGTTTGATACTTCTTAACTTAAGAATATGAAACCTGTTCCGGTACATTAATTAAGAGCTACAGTTGTTATAAATAATTTTAAAAGTTGGTGAGGAAAGTTTTGGAGGAATGAAAATATTTGTGAATATCTGTGAATACTTCCGCTGATTAGCATCCGCATGATTCCTTCTCTTACTTTTCTTACCTTAAAATTTCTTCGCTAATTTTGTTTTAAATATGTTAACTATCGAAAATAATTGTTTTATTATTATTCGTGCAACTAGCAACATTGCCGTCTGTGTGTTTATAACTAAAGTAAAGATGCTACACCTATTCTTGCGCCGACCATCTGCGATCTCATTAATTCTTTTCTTAAACACTCCATCTTTCCAGACTCGTTGAAAATTGGTAATGTCTTACCAGTTTATAAGAAAGGGGATGTAAACAAAATAGAAAATTATCGTCCAATCACGCTTCTTCCTATTATCGGCAAGGTTATGGAACGTGTGATATTCACCTATTTATACAACTATTTCTTCTCGAATAATCTCATTTCAGTTCATCAATCTGGTTTCGTTAAAAGAGACTCGTGTGTTAATCAACTGTTAAATCTTATCCACCACATTCATGAAAGTCTTGAGGAACAAGGTTTTGTAAGAGCTATATTCCTTGACTTCTCAAGGGCATTCGACAGTGTGTGTGGCATAGAGGAATAATTTTCAAGCTGAGACAAAAAGGGGTATGTGAACAAGTTGTTAAGTGGATTGAAAATTATCTAAATAATAGAAAAATAAGAACAGTTGTTGATGGTTTTCCATCTGATTTTTTAGAAATAAACTGTGGCGTTCCTCAAGAATCAATTCTGAGCCCTCTTTTATATCTCATTTATATTGATGATCTAGGAGAGGGTCTTGAATCTCATTTCAGTTTGTATCCTGATGACACCAGTCTTTTTCACTACTCATCGTCTCTTCAAAAGTCAACTGACACAATAAACAGAGGTCTTGAACAAATAGTGCAGTGGTGTTCTACATGGTAAGTAACTCTAAATTTTGAAAAATGTGTCGCCCAGTTATTGCATAAACATGCGTTAGCTTTAAATTCATACCATTCACCGTTATTAATTCAGGACAAACTCGTTCGCGAATTGGAAAAATAACTTTCATTCGCAACTATATGAGACTTCTCAAGTGGAATCTCAATCGTTCAGTATTTGAATGCTTATACAAATCTCTTATTCAGTCTCTAGTTAACCATAGCAGCGAAATATTCTCATTGACTACGCAAAAGAATATTCTAAAATTAGAGAGTTGTCAGTATCAGATCCGCTTGACTGTTAGTGGTGCTATGAGAGGTACTTCTAAAGATAAGTTGTTCCTGGATCAACATTGGCTCTCGTTCTCTCAGCTATTCTATGTTAACAGAATGTGCAGGATTTATAAGATTATTTTTGGTTTAGTTAGAATAAATGCTGAGCATGTTAGATACATAGAGGTAAAGAAAACAAAGTACAGCTTAAGACGAGACAGGGTGGCTAAACTATATGATTATGCAGATAAAAATTCTTTTTTTCAGTTGTCCTTTTTCCCGACTGCTCTTAGTGAATGGTCTGATCTCATCTCAACACATCTGCAACTAAGTGTTGGACAAAAGTCTGAGACATTTCGAAAAAGTTAAAAAACATTGTACTTTCACCTACCAATAAATTACCATGTATATTATATCGTCGAGCTGATGCACTATTTTGCCACTTAAGAGTGGATTTCTCCGCGCTTAACTTTCATCAAACAACATAAACTTGTTTGTAAAAATTTCTGCGATAGCTGTTTTTCGCTGTCTCCGTCAATAAAGGTTGTTGAAAATCCAAAACACTAGCTCTTGGAATGTTCAAAGTACGATCGAGCTCGAGCAATTCTGGCTGTTCAGCTGGGTAATCTAGGTCTTAGTTTAGATGTTGATACACTTCTACTTAGAACACATTTCTCCAGTGATCTCTTAATATCTGTGTGTCAGTTTGCGGGTGGTTTTATTACTGCCAGTAAGCGTTTCTAACAGACTACGTCCTCTACTTTTTCACTTTTACAGATTTAACTGATCCACCCCCTTGTTTCTAAAACGTCAATATTAGGTGCTTTTCTCCTATTGACACAGTTTCCTTCATCTATTTTTATTGCTCTCACTTTATGTTCTTTTCTTCTTTCTCTAAGTCCAACGTTTTTCTTTTCTTTTCGTCCATTTTTATTTTATGATGATGTTCTATTTAAGGATTTCTCTCAGAAGATACAATGTAGTCCTTAGGACAACGATTTCATTTGTTTGGTCTCTTTTTTCTTGTTTCTTTTTTTTGATTTTAAGAACCTTATACTAAGTATAGATGTTCATAGGAAAGGAT